TCCCTCGTGCTTCGACTGTTGACAATCCGATTGATCTATTGTAGTGCACGTTATCTGACAAATGCCCTTCTAGCCTAGAAAGCATTTTGTTCCTATAATTAAAAGCTTTTGCTTCCCAGTGGCAAGGAGTCCTGTACAGTTAGTGAAGTAAGAGCTGTGAGAGAGCAGCAGAGCTCATAGTACTCTGCACATATAAATGCACTACTCCTGGCTGTTGTGCAAAGGCATCTTGGGGAGATGGTTGGATACTAATGAATGTCACCGTACATCACCCTCCCTGCCCCATGTATCCTGCGCTAGACCTGGTCACCCATATGTTTCTGCATCAGTTAGGATGTTTGTTTTCATAATTTCAGCACACTTTTTTTTTTTAGTAGCAATTAGCTTATGTATTTTAAGAATCCAGGCCATTGTGCTTCAGCCCCTGAGAGAGAATCCATTTCTCCAGACTCCGTGTCTAAGTGGGTTGAAGGTACCATTTCTGGGCTTCAGTGTAGCCTTTGCTTTATCAGGTAGCGGAGGCAAAGAGCACAGAAAAGCGGACCTCACTGTCAAAGCCAGCATCTGCTACAACACCTCGAACTAGCGTGAAGAGCACCCCTGCCACACCCAGGACAACTGCAGCCTCACCAGTTACAACCACATCTAGCATGAAAAATACTTCTGCTTCCCCACCCAAGAGGCCAACGTGTAAGTATTGCCCGGTTGCATTTCTGTTGGATAATTCTTGTATTGGGGTTAGCCTATGTAATGCAGCACGCTCTCACAAATTGTAGTGCTGCCGACTGCACTGACGCTCCGCAGATGGCATGCTTTCACTTTTCTGGTGGCCTCAGCAGGTTTCTAAATGCAGGTTTAAAGGGTGCCTAAGTTGCAAATAAAACTTAACACATGGCCACACACACTGAGGTCTGCAACCAGATAGATGTGATTGCTCCAAGAGCAGAGAGCTGCCCCACTCGCCTCAGTTGTGTACGAGTTTGAAGGCTTAATAACAATGTAAACATCAGGACTTTTAATATGCACACATGCAGGGTCATGTGTCTGGGAATAAGGACCATAGGTCATAGGTGCGGGCCGGGGGCACGTGATTGTCAAAGCAGTGACGTTGAAAAGAACTTGGGCTTCCGGTGGGCCTGAGCTCTCGGGGTACAGCTCTGGTTCAGGACCAACCCAGTTCTTAAATGTATAAGTGGGAAATAACCAGGAGAAACAGAGTTATAGCTTCTGCCTACACTGCTAGTCAGACCATTATTGAAATACTGCATCCAGTTCTGGCGGCTGTTTTTGAAAGAACGTTGAAAAATTGGCAAGATTCAGAAAATAGCCACAAGAAGGATTCATGGCCTGGAAACATGCCCCCTAGTCAGACTTAAGGAGCTAAATCTATTTAGCTTACCTGGAAGAAGGCTGAGGTGATGTTTTGGACTACAAGGTAGACCTTTGTTGACTAGATAAAGATATAATGAGATAAAATGACCAGAAGCTGAAACTGTTCAAATTGAAGCCTAAGATCAGAGAAAGTAGTTACCTATTTGCACAGCCTTCTAAGGACCTGATATGTTCTCTGTCCCTAAGCCTTTAAATCAAGATGGGATGTGCTTTGAAGACAGGTGCAGTAGAGCACCCAAAAGATGTATACCTGATGCAGGATTCACTGGCTGAAACTTTAGGGCCTGTTTCTGGGAAGGCAGGCTGGTCCATTCCAGCCTTAAATATTTGGTGACCCTTAAGTGCTTTTGTGGATGATCATTTTATAAGAAACATGTAGCTACTCTTGGAAGTATGAACAGAATCTGGAATGGTGAGTTGAACTCAAATAGAGGACCAGCACTTTTCTCCCAATCCTTGAACTAAAAGGAGGAAGCCATTGGCTTTTCTTTCATCTGTCTGAGTTGTGGACAGGACCCTAGCATCTTCTACAGGTCCAGTTAAAAATTGTGAACAATAGCCAAGGGGTCAATATTTGGTGATTTGATGCATGTATAACTAATGACTCTGCTTCTTTACATCTAATGCAGAGAGCTGAGCTACAAGTCTCTCTGGTTTGAGTAATTAACTGACCTGTTAAAAAAATTATCACTTTAATAATCAGATTCTTACATGCATGTTTGCTTGGCTTAGATGCTTGTTAGCCTCACTAAACTCAACCTTCATAGCCACCTCGTGTCTGGTGATGGAAACTAGTCCTGAGAATAGCGGTACTCAACCTTCTTAGGCTCGAGGTACCATTGGGTAGACTCAAGACACCCCTTGGAAAATGCCAGCTCTCTTCTCTCCTTTTTTGCCTTGGGGAAAAATACTAGAGCAGCTTTCCTGTTACAAAGAACTCAGAAAGACCACAACTATGGATTTCTATTTGAAGTCTCCGGGTTTATCTGTGAACCATGTTTTATAAACCTAATGCTGCTAACAACACTGTGTAGCATCCTTGAAAGGATCTCAAGGCACCTGAGGGAACTGTGGCACCCTGGTTGGTGAATCCCTGCCTGAAAATCCTGTTTCTAAAAGAGAGGATACAAGTACAGCTGTGAGGGAAGAGGGCCAGCAGGCTGAGTCTGTCAGGGTGTCTAGTAATTGGGGCCAAGAATTAAATCCAGAGACATACCTTGGAACCAAAAAAGGCTACTTCAAGGACCCCGTTGGTTTTGTCACAAAGCTGTAGTCTGCTAAAGCACTGCTGATTAGAGTGTAGGGCAGATTGAACTAGCACACCATTTTGGGGTTAACATTTGGAAATAAGAACTGGAAGAAGGCCAGGCTGGTATCTTGGTGCGAGTGCTGCCTACCCTCTTCCCTCAGCTGAGAAAGTTGTGATGTGAAGAGGGGGCTGGAGATGTGTGTGCGTAGGCAGGGGGATTGCATTGGTCCCATTCAGCATTATCAACGTAGAGCAGAAGTTGCAAAGTGGTGGTGCCTCAGCGCAGCTCAGCCCGTTGTGTCTTGTAGTGAAGTTTGCCAGTGATGGTAGCCAGTCTGGCCCACAGGTTCCAG